TATCTTTGTGCATGTGTCTACATCTCTGTAGCTGTATCGTTGTTGGAGAAGCCTCTTAACTAAGTATAATCCTTATTGCAATAAAGAATCTATATAAATTTAAACAAAAATGAATGAATGATAAATAATATAAATGCGTTAATCGTTATCTGCTCATCTGCCGAAGTGGCTTTTACTCTACTGAGACAAGAAGTAGCGGTGGCCTCAGCATTAAAGCCATGGGCGCAGTGCTCGTGAGTCAGTTATTTTGTTTGTTTCTATAAGTGGTTATAAATGTTGAGAATATAAAAAAAAAATACATATATTTGATCTCTGAAATAAAAGATAACTAAAATGTTATCACACAGACATTTGGACGCGTTCACAGACGCATACAAACAGAGAGAGATAGAGAGAATGCGAGAAAGAGAGAGAGAGAGATAATGCGAGAGAGAGAGAGAGAGAATGCGAGAGAGAGAGATTGTAAAGGCTAATAATTGAGGACCTTTATACATTGGTTGCAGTAGTAATAGGGGACGATGGCTTAACTCCTTTATTTCTGAGAGTACAAACAATACAGACAGGGTATACACGAGACAAATCTTGGGTAACTGCCGAGTGCAGGAAGGTCGCGGCGCCGACCAGCCCTGTTTAGCTACTCCTCGCTGAAACGATGGTTCTTCCCTAGACCTCGAGCCACGTGGCAAGGAGCCCCGCGGTCTTTCATACACAAATCGTGGTTATGTACATGGTATATATATATAGAGAGAGAGATAATGCGAGAGAGAGAGAGAATGCGAGAAAGAGAGAGCATGCGAGCGAGAGAGAGAGAATGCGAGAAAGAGAGAAAAAATTGCGAGAAAAGGAGAGAGATAGAAGCAGAGAGGTCCTGCATGAATGTCAACTGGCCCACCAAGAGAGCTAAAACTTTCCCTGGGAACATTCCCCTCAGCTTCGAGCGATCGGAGCGGGAGACGTGTCGAACGCCACAAGAGCTCTGGACCATGGGGCGTCTCCCGATGGACACAAGAACGACGCAAAGAAACCCATCCACCTCGCCACTGAAAATGGTTCTCTGGCGATCATAGAGCTGCTGTGTACAAGGGGAGCTGACGTCAACGTGCGAGATCCAACCAATGCGGGTAAGTGCTCGGATTTCCGTTGCATGTTGTGGGTTGTGAACTGATAGTGGGATTTCCTTTTCTTGAGCTTTATGTTTTGTCTTTGCAGGGAGAGCACCGCTACACATTGCTATTAGAAAGAATTCCCCCGATATCGTGAAGTTGCTTCTTGAGAAACAGGCAAGACCGAATGTGGCAGACGGGACAGGTAGGTTAAACTCGATGTCGATGAGAACTGCCCTTTGAAGTCACTCAGCTGGAAATAAGGATAATTTTACAAGTAAAAATAAGGATAATAATGATAACTATAATAGTAATAACAATAACATCAATGATCATCATTATAGTAATAATAATGGCATTAAGAATAATGATAATGACAATCATAATGACATCATAATGATGATAATGACAATCATAATGACATCATAATGATGATAATAGTAGTAATAATGACAATAATGATAATTATAACAATAATATAAAAATAGTAATTAAGTATACTACATCTTAGGAAAAACTAATCTTGTGAAAAATAACAGTAAAACTAAAAAAACAACAGATCAAACTCATTACAGACTTTTCCAGTGGTTGACTATCTCTCATCTTCAGTAACAAACTAACATGCTCCAATCTTTCCCTTTCAATTTGCAAGATATGTAAATGTGCTGAGTGGAACAGGTATACAAAGACGCCTCACATCTTTAACAAAGCTTAATGAAATGAATGTGAACCAAACGCGGTGTTTTGCAGGAGCGACCCCTCTTCACACCGCAATAGACATGAATGATATCACTTCTGCCGGTCTTCTGCTGAAATATAAAGCTAATGTGCATTTGAAAGACGCATCACGTGAGTACTGAAGCATCATTATTCTCCAACGTGTCTCTTATTAACAAGGTATTAACACATGGATTTTCCTTAGACTAGACTTTCTTCAATGTATGTATCATAACCACAAAGCAACCTTTAAATGAAACAAATCTATGTAATTCACACGGTTCTGACAAAGATGCAAGTCGTAACATAGATTACATATTCTGGATGCTGGAACTAACTGACACGCACACACACACAAGTTGTCCTCGGGGGGAATCGAAAGCAGGTTAAGCAGAACCAGTGATGCCACAAACATTTTTTTTTTTTTTATCATACGTTTCGGAACGTCGTCAGTAATCTAAAAAGAAAAAGAATAATATAGAAATAATGTGTCCCTAAATTGGTGTTCATATAACATGAATTCAAGAGAACAACGGTAAATAAAAGTGGTACAACGAAAATGAATATACGCAAGCACAAGTACAAAATAAACACAGATATATATATGTGTGTAAAAACATGTGCATTACATATATATATATATATATATATATATATATATATATATATATATATATATATATATATATATATATATATGCATATATATATATATATATATATATATATATATATATATATATATATATATATATATATACATATACACTGATAAGTCTATGAGAAGCAGCTGCATTGATCACTTGGTGTCATGAGTTAGGATCACTTTACAGACGATTTTCAAGAACATTTGTAATCAGTTAGTGTCACTTATATGCATAAGACTCCGGACTAGTACAGTGTCGGCCTCTCATCCGAGGGGTCGGCGGTTCTCGCCCCGCCTTGGCGCGAGAAGTTGCAATAGTCGCCTGGAGGTTACTGCTGTGGTGGGCACCACGGCGGGTAAGGACTAGGCCAAGTCAGCACCAGCTGACACACTGTTAGCGAGTCGACATTAGTCGACACAGGTCGGGCTCCCCTTATGGGCATAGGCCGGGCGAGGCTCAGCTTCGCATATCCTTATCCTCATATACATGTAAATATATATATATATATATATATATATATATATATATATATATATATATATATATATATATATATATATATATACATATATATATATACATATGTATATATATATATATATATATATATATATATATATATATATATATATATATATACATATATTTATATGTATATATATATATATATATATTTTTTTTCCTTTCTTTTTTTAAACACCGAATAAATACCACTATTTATATTTGTATTGTATATGCAGCTGTCCACAATTAATATGGCGAGGAACTCCCAAATCCAGTATGCCCTGACCCAGTTTTGCCCAATTCACCTCCTCCTTTCGCATATTTTGCTTTTTCAACTACAGCTGATTGTATTAACTGCAGTTTCAAGTGCATGAGGAGAGCAACGGACCATCAGAAGCAGTTGAAATATTTATCGCACGAGCAGGGTCGGATTATGAGCTTTTGGGGCCCCTAGACTAATGAAATTATGGGGCCCCCTTAGAATATTTTTACTTATGATATATTTTAGCGACATTTACATAGTTTGAAGTAAACTTATTGCAAATTCTTTAAATAAACTAGCATAGCTATCTTTTGTCTGTCAATAAAAATATTCTTTAAATACCTCTATTTTAATATATTTCAACACGATCGTAGTGAAATTTTTTTTTTTTTTTATAACCAAGCCCTAGGCTGCAGCCTATACTAGCCTATAGGATAATCTGGCCCTGCTCACGAGATCTATTCTTTTCAATTAGTTTGGTCAGTTAGAATTCTCCAGAAGAGAGGATGAATAGGGGTGTTGATAATTCTAGGCATATTAAAACTAATACGACTATAAATTATCATCTTTAAGTCAATCATCTTAATAGGAACGTTATCTAATCCCCAGATAACTTACCACTCCATATTGCTGTGAGAAAAAATAACTGCGAGATCGTCAATATGCTATTAAATGCAGGAGCTTCAGTGCATATTGTGGATGCATCAGGTAGGTGGATGACTGACTCCGAGTAGACAGGCTGAAAATGGTAAACTGTATGGACCTTTTTGCTTATACAGTTTAATGCATTTAACACGTAGTAGCAGGGGACTTCAATAATAAAACTGAGCTATTCATTTCATCGTATTTCATGTCTAGAAGATAACTATAACATTGCCAACGATAAAAAAATATGAAAAATATACGAATAATGAGGATAATTCACAATATAACTGCCATTAACATCATTGTTATTGAACATAGAACCAATTTCATCATTCTTACTTATCACTTCACCCAGGCGACTGGTTGCTTCACGTGGCCGCAAGGTTCGCGTCTACTAGGATATTGGAGAAGCTGAAAGAGAAGGGATGCGAAGTAAACAAACGCAACGCAGATGGGTCGTCGCCACTGCATCTGGCTGCTGAGTCGGGCAACCTGGAGGCAGTCAAATGGTTCACACACAATGGAGCAAAACTCGATGTCCTGGATGGGAAGAAGAAGACACCGGAGGACAGAGCAGTAGGAGCGAAGCAGAAACGCGTGGTGCAGTGGATAAATGACCAAACGGGTCTGAGAGCAGATGTAAGTGACTGCTTTGTTCGTCAATCTTATACAGTGAACAGTGTCGTTTGGTATAAAAAGGAAGGGAAAAGGTCATATAGAGCACGATAGATGTTTAGGTACTGGTGAAATAGTGACCGATTTGTCTGCAAAGATTTTAGTATTTTCCCTTCTGTATATGCCGCATTATTTCTAGGCTAAATCCTATATATATATATATATATATAAGTGGTTCATTATCTAGCTGTGGCAGAATTCAAAACTGCTCGTGAAGTTTGTTTTTGCGTTTCAACCACTTAATACCGCAACATCTTGAATGAATAGAAATCAGATATCCAGATGCCTTAGCTGAAACATTACTCCGGTGACCAAAGTAGTGATTATGAGGTCAGCTGATTAGCCACGTGGACGAAAGTGGGTTACAGGACAATGGTAAAAAAAAAAAATGCATTTTACTCTCTGATATTCTTGTTCTCAATTTAGCCTGCGAATGTAAGTGTGCTC